TGCTACTTATGTAGTCATTTTTTACCGACCGTGGTTCTTGCACGCGGCCGGAAAGATGTTCGTTCGAAAGCCGCCATTTCGACGTAATTGAAATATTACAGAATTATGCTACGCGATGATTAGTTTTAAACAATACTTAGGCAATTTTGTTGAAATGAAAACGTATTTCAGAATTTCGGTTAACATTTCATGAGTTAGCACACCTACTGTATCTAGAATAGTTTCTCAGTAAATGAGTCTCTAGTTTGCACTAAAATTTGTCAACAGTCTCTAGAAGAGCCACCACGCTAAAGAGCCTGTTCCATGTTCCGACGACCCTCTGTGAGAAGGAGTTCAATCGGACGTCCGTACGGACAAACTTCCTCTGCAGTTTAAAATGAAGAAATTGGAGGCGGTCAGCCCCAACCAATCAGATCGAAGCAATCATCAAAATCTGGGACACACTCAAGGCCTCTGACAATTGTGTGGGTTTGAATGAGGTCGCTGCGCAGTTGCCTGTAATGGGGAGAAAGCAAATTAATCAGAGTTTTGTAGGAGAGATACTGGAGATTCTTGACCGTCTTCATAGCCCTCGACCTGGACAGGATACTTCATGTGAAACCCAGCGAATGGCCCTTAAGTTTTTCCAAACAGTCCCTTATTAAACTGCACAAATCTTCGTCTTTGCGTCAGATTTAGAAAACAGGAATACTACATGGTCAATCTGCCAAAGAGCACTGACACCACTTTAAAGCGCTCGAGATATCGCCTTCGGAAGAACCGCTGAATGTCATGCCAAGTAATTACATCAACTCCCACCTGGAGGAAATATGCCGTCGGTAATCTTAATTTAGTAGGCAGGGTTACATCATACCAACCCATCGGCTAGAACACGCAAGGTCTTCGTGTTGTTGGTACTCCTGTAATGTTTTGAATGATGAGGAACTCTTGGAGACACTAAAATACTACGGTTTTTCCTGTGTACGTTTTAGTAGATATTCCAGTTTTTCCATTTACCTCGGTTGGCGATTAGTTTCTGAGGAAGTTAAAAATACGCAAACTTTTTACATTCACATAGAAAAGGCGACGGTAGCAGCGTTCGCCGTAGGACGGTGATTTCGGTTTTACCGGCGGGCTTTAAGCCTGTTCTAGCCCCTATGCTAACCTTCCACAAACTGGTTTGCGTTCATGACGCCCAGTCAGTGAGGTCCTGCAAAACCAAACCGGTTCTCCTGTCCAGACGTCGGGAACTTCGCGGCAGCCGTCAGCCACCTGGATTTGGAGTCGCACACAAATCGGAGGCAACCATTAGGCTTCAGGCGATGAGACCAAGAGACCCACCGCCACAGCGAGAAACCTCTATGTTCGTTTATCGGATCCGATGCAGTTGCGGGCAAGGCAACTACGTCGGAGAAACTGAGGGACTGCTCCGTGCGCGAATCGCTGAACACGCGGCAGTAGTGCGGAGAAATGATGTCAACTCTCAAGTCGCGGCCCATTCAATGAGACCCGGTCACAGATTCTACTTCGATGAGGCTGAACCTCTAACGGTAGGTGATAAGCGCATGAGTCACGAATTGTCCGAGTCATGATTACCGAGACCCCAGTCCACTACCAAGTGCAGTGACCTTATTCGGTGCTGAGACTTAGTTTGGTCAAAGTAATTGACCACTCGGGGAGCCAGATGGCCGAGCAATCATCACGCCAGCATCTAACACGGTGATAAAATTTCAACAATCAGCGACCTACATGCCGGCCATCAAGCAATTAGCGCACCAGCGGACAACTATCCCTGATGTAGGGGAGAGCGATTAATTACCATAGGCAAGCAATAGGATAGTGAGTGCATACCGTTTATACGGCAGTTTCCTGCGTACGAACTACCCGAATCGGATGCCGTCTCTGATGGCGGGTCCAAGCGTGAATCCGAAACGTTAGGCGAATAAGACTCTTGTTCGGGGGACCGCATCTACCTCATGTCAACTACGCCTGTCAGATGTGTCCTAACCCTGTTCGGGACGATGCGCTGTAACCACCCGTTTCCGGGATGTGTGCAATCCTTACTAAAGAATTCTCAGATGCAAAAAGTCCACTTTAACAAGATGGCCTATGATTGGTTGGAGTTAGCACCACTGAGTGTCCGCAAATTTGTACGCCTCCGAAGACTGCCTGACGAGTACACACTTGCTTTCTTTAAACTCAAATCAGACCAATATCGGGACCAGCTAAGACGTGTGGATGATAACAGACATCACGTAATTTTAGTCTTTTTGTTGCAGGTAGGATGTGGGGAATATAAGTAGCAGTGAGAATAAAGTGAAGACATGGAACAGATGTGTAGCAAATTGCATTTACAGTTGGTGACCTAAATCATGAGAGATGTCTGAATTCACGGATGATGGCTAATCACTTGCCAGTCGTTTTTTTAATATTTCTAGAAAAAAATCTGTTATTTTTTACCACAAACTTAAAGACATGTCTTTCTCTTTATACTGTGTACATTTTCGCTACTTTTACTCACTTGTAGGCTGCGTTCTACGATTATGAATGCACGACAGAGTGGACATATAAATACTACTATCTTGCTGAAATGGTTAGTGTTTTGTTAGTTTCACTCCTATATTAAGCACACGCAGAAATTAGAACGCAGGTTAAGTAAGGTCTCATATGTTCGAAGCTTAAAGTCTACTTGATAGTAGTCATTTCTTTGACAACCTGTTTGATTTCCCAAATGACAAAACAATTACAGGCCATGTAGGGGGAGGATTGGCTGTGTGCGTTATCACTGCACATTAAGGCACCAAACCGCATAGATCTGCTAGTCTGACATTTAAAAACCGATTAAATTTCTGGTTCTCCCAAAATTAGCTGTGTGTTAGCAAATTGATTACCACGGTTAGCATCAAACTAAAAACCACCTTTTAAGTGAGAGAAACTCTGTTTAGTAAAACTTCCGAGAGAAAATTGTTCTCTCAGATGCGCAACCAAAGGTTAGGGCAGGTATCGGCATAAGAAATTGCCTAGATAAACCGCAACGCCCATTTTCGCTCATGTTTTTCAACACTTCGCTTAGTAAAATCATGTTGACACATTTTCTACACAAGAAAAAGACACTTCTTCGAAAAGGTATGACAAACGAGCAAAATGCGCAACGTTTAAAACGTCCGAAAATTCTCATATCAGATTCTGTCATCCAGGTTTCATAGACGCCTGGCCTTGGTTACTGCGGGTGTCTGCGGGAAGCGTTTCTGCGTGCGAATTCGCGGCTTGAAAATGCGCCCAGTGCGGGCATGAATATGTAGAGAGGCCTCCACGTTTGCCTACCGAGAGTTGGTGTTCGCTCGTGCGAGTACTACTTCACCATCGTCTGTGAAAGGCAACATGACCATTCCTATAACCTTCAGTGACCCTACAATGGATTTACTTGGTTTATACCGACATGTGCCATTAGATATAGGTCTTGCATAGTACCAGTACGGTGGTAGATAGTCCTTTACTTTCTTGTCCAGCGCGAATCCACTTACGTGGACCGAGGATTTTTTTAAGGTGTTCTCATTTTATCTTGCTTGGGTAATGACAGTATAATCTACGCTGCAAAATAGACATGTTGGAGTTAACGAAAAAGAGGCTGCGGATACTGGCTATCGCGTAACGACCCCCCAGGAACGTCGGAGGGCGCTCAGTACATATGCGCTAACAGGCAATGATTCATTTATTGTAAGCGAATTTTACGAATTCGCAACGTATCTACAAAAACAAACTCCATCCAGTCGGGCGGCTGTGAGTACTATCAGTTTAGCCAGTATGCCCCTCATTAGGCCGCATAAAGTAGCTTAACAGGAGGAACAAATACAGACAGAAATATGTCTGTGTGGAATAGCAGCAAAGTGCGCGGTTGTTGGTGTATCCCAGGGAATAACTAAAATTTACGGATTGATGGGAATATTCGAAAGTTCGACAGCTCGAATAAGCATAATCATTATCCTTCTTCTTCTTCTTCTTCTTCTTCTTCTTCTTCTT